AGAAAGCAAATTAATCTGTCATGCTCCCATTCTTCTCCTCCACAAATTGATGTTGGTGTGAAGCAGGTGGTGCCAGCGACAACCCTCCTGTCATCCAAAAAAAGATACTACCAGTACCTAGAAATGCTGTCCTGCCTATACCCTGTAATGATGACACTGCCCCTGATTTCTCTATGCCAGCCCAACGCACCATCCCAGAGCATTTAAGTGACAAAGCCAGTTTGACTAAAGCAGTGTGCATTAGCCATGTTTTGCAGTCCATTACAGACTGTATTTACCAGGAAGATTCGAGTCCACCCAGGGAGCAGGAGGGGGATGCACTTCCAGGGATGGGCTCCCAGTCATGGGCCACCAGACAACTTGGCGGCACAGTACAAAGCTGCCGGCTGGGTCCCAGTTTGGCACCCAGCTTTGTGGAAGATCTAGGAGCAAAACCTGGGAGTTCTGCTGGGCTCACCCACCTGCCACCAGTCACCACAAGCTTCCTCTGGCAGCCTCAGAGGCAGCCAGCTCCACCCCGCTGGTACCTGCAGTGCCGGCATGTGCCTCGGTGCTGGAGCGGGCGGGGGTTACACTGGCAAAAGCCATCACACATGCTTAGCTCTAGGAAAAAAGAGAAAGTCATGGGGCCAGTGTGGCTCATAGCTTCAACCAGACTGTAAGCAAAAGTACTCTCTACCCAGCATGTCATATTTTCCATACATGAAGCGGCTGGGGGGACTATCTTGCACAAGCTCTGCAAGGAAAACTTTCCAGGGCAGACAAGCCAGGAAGTGTAAGGAAGGAGGACAGAGTCTATGTACTCATACTAGAGACTTCCTTGGGTTAGAGGAAGGGTAGGGGCCAAGCCTGTGTGACTCACCATGCTTTTCTGAGACATGCTGCTGGCCTGATGCAACCCCTGTTCCAGCAGAAACAAAGCACGATGGGCCATCGCCAGTACTGGGGAGAAACATGGGAGTTGCAAGAACTGCTATAAAAAATATCCCTTTGCAGCCTGCAAACCAAAGACATTACCTATGAGCTGCTGATGAAGGAGAATCCCCTTCCACCCACTGCTTTGGGTGCTTTGTGTGTAGCAGAAAATACCTGCTGGCACCACCAGATGGACAGGATACCCAGGCTCCTGTTTTCAGATACGGTTCTGTGGTATCAGTCTTCAAAGGCAAAATCACCAACAAGAAAGAAAACAGCTGCGAAAAAGTAGCCCCAGATTTTTCCAGTCCTGAGTTTGCAGTGCATTCGCTGCTTACTCACTTCTTGCTAAGTCTAGAGTTGCTGGGTCGAGCTCCCACCCTCCCCTCCAGCACAACTACTCCTTATAGCTTGGAAGCTATTTTTTCCCATCCTGTATCTAAAATAAAAAAAAAAAAAAAAAAAAAAATTGGCGTGAAAGCTTTTATCATCCTGAAAACATGCCAACTGTGAAGGCGACTCTGTGTCTCAGACGCCTGTTTCCTGGCAGATTTTAAGTCCTTTGCTCAACTGCTAGGATGGCGGGGGCAGGAGATGCCTGCAGCAGCAGGCTGTGAACTGTAGTTTCAAACAGTCACATGTTTAACTGCTGCTAAATACCCAGGGGACCAACATTTGCAAACAGCGGGCTAAGAGCTAGACACACAGCCGAGTGATGGCATCAGCCCATCCGAGGTAAAGAAAAGGTGTGAACGTGCTGCACAGTGATGCTGGGCATGGAGATGAAGGACCACCAGCATGGGTACAGCTACCAGGCCATACTGAGCGGGGTCACCTGGCTCAACACCTCCACCTGGTCAGGCACCCTAGATAATGAGGCTTCAGCTCTACTGGCTCCCAGTGGTTTGAAGGGAAAGGAGGGGATCCAGCTACCAGGCTGAGCAGGAGAGAAGTGGTGGATGACTGCGCTGTTGGTGTCCAAATTTCCAGTGGCCAGCTCTGGCCATAACCACCACAGCTGGCAACATAAAGGCACTGGGAAGTCCACATGGAGGGTGAGACATGGGGACAGCCCCTGCCGTGATGCCAGCCTAGAAGAGTTACAAAAACCATGGAGCCCTTCACTCTGGTGATGCTTTTTGGGGCTCCAAAGTGCTCAGAGCAGGTTTTACATGCAGAAATCCGTTTTCCACTTCAGCCCCAAACTGCAGGGCCTCTTAGAAAAAATTGCACAGGGTGAGAAAAGGATGCAGTCCTGTCAGGCTTTACTCTTCTAGAGACAGAAAGTGGCTACCTCTTGGCACATGACCCACAGCAACATCTACCCTAGTACCTACCTATAACTTGCCCTTCTGCCAGCTGAGGATTTTCCCTAACATTGCAATTCAGACCATCCAAGCATTGCTCCAAATCTGTTACTTGGAGCCCCCTGTGAAAAGAAAACCAAGTAGCCTGGGAAGACAGGAATTGATAGCCTTTCAAATTTGTTTTCACTCTAGGGAGAAGTTACTAAGAAGAAACTGGTCTGGAATGGAGGTGTGTGGGACAATCCAACTAACTCTCCAGAGGCTCTAAAGGATGATCTTGCTCTGTGCAGAATAGATGGTGCTCAGGAAATTGGTGTGTGTCAAATGAAATCACAACTACTGCTGAATCCCTGCAAAGCACAGTCATGATACACCACACGCATCTCCGAGGGGAGGGATGTGATCCCACCCATAGTGCACAAACCAGGATGGCATTTTATAAACTTGCCTGTGGCTTCTCTCCAGCTATCGCACGGATTTGTGATGGTACAGAGCAATGCATCACCACTGCTGCGAAGGGAAGCACGAGGGCTTAGCTTGGCTACTGCATGTCCCAGTCGTACAATGAGGCCAGGGCTCTCCTCATGTGTCATGTATTGTCTAAAAACCACAAGACAAAAAGAAAGCTGAAAAGCTCCTGCGAAGTATGGAAGACAAGCAACAGAATTCCTCCAACATTCCATGCAAGCTGCCTTCCAGATGCATTTCTCCATCCTCCTGAATGAAATCGAGAGGGGCAATTTTCATCCTCCTTTGTACTTGGATGTCTTCACCTTCTTCATCTCTCACCTTCCCTCCATTTAAGCACAAGGATGGCGCCGTTCTCAGGAGGCAGCTAGCTACGAGACAGAGTAAAGGGGTAAACAGGAGGCTTACAGAGAAAACCACCCCAAAAACCTTAGCTTGGTCCAAGTCTTAGTCACATCTTGGGCTGTTGGGAGCCATGAGCAGCAAGAGCAGCTGCAGGCCACGGGCAGGTGGTGCCATTAATGCACAGCCCCATCCAAGGCCCAGCTCTACAATGCGGTGCCCAGCCCGTGTCACACGAGCAGGGGAAGCATGGCTGCAGCTGGGACTAGCGTTCAGAGCTCAAAATCCAGCATGGCCTAAAAGAAAGAGAATCAGATACTGGTAAGAGAGCAAGCAGGAACCAACCAGGAGGTGGGGAGATATTTCGAGTTGTTTGACCCCACCACAGCCCTCTGCTTTCCAGAGCCTGGGGCATTACAGCCTGCCAACAAACAGCACAGCAGCATTCACCTGCCAGCACAGACACAGGAGTTGTCAGTGGAGAGGAGAGCCCTGCCAGCCCTCTGCCAGCCCAAGAGCAACAGGGTGGAGGATGGGACATAGCCAGCATCTCTCTGTGGCCTCTGCCAGCAGGACTCTCCTGCCAGGCCCTAGCGGTGGCACGGTGACATTCCTCTAACAACAAACAGCATCAGCGACGGCATCTGTGCTGCCAAGGCTAAGAGGCAGGTACTAGAGAAACTGCCTTTGTTCAACAGCATCAGCCTAGAGGGAGGGAAAAAAGCAGCGTTACTAGTGACACAAGAGACAGGCATGATCGAGGTGGGTGCCACTCCCATTGCAGCTGGGTTTAGGCACTAACTTAGGTATGAGTCAGCTGCAGCTTCCATGTTCTGTCCGGGCATCAGAGTGAATTTCTTTCTTAAGAGTTTCAGATGATCCTCAGAGTTGACCTGACATAGGCAGGCTGCTTTTCCAAGGTTAAGAAGCATCAGAAAGCCTTTTGTATGGCTCAAAAGACAACACTGACATCTTGGGGTGTCAAATTGGGATCGTCTCAAACAGGTAACAGGCCTACTTTCAGTTGTCCCCACACAAATTCACTGGAGTTTTGTGAAAATTGGTGTTTGGTAGAAGGAACGGCCTCCCCCCGCTATAGCAGTTCCTAAACCCAAACACACACATGACTGGCTGAAGTTCACAGCCTGCAGCCAGGACACGTTTTGGGATGATTCCTATGGGGCAGGCCAAGCAGGGAACACGACACAGGCCAAAAGGGATCAGGATCACCCACAGGAAAGCACACACTTCCAGGGTAGGAGGAAGGCGAGCCTATGAGTTAGACATGATCTCCAATGATTTCACATGGCTTCTGTTGCACATTGCAGCAGCAGTGTAGCGGTTCACTGTACACATAGAAAAAAAACCACTCTTTTAAGTCATTTTTCCAGTGATGGGAATAAGTATTTCAATTAGTATTTACCGAAACAAGAACCAGACAAACTCAGTACTGTGTGAAAGGGTGTTTATTTCAAAGTTAAATTTCTCACATAAAACAATGTCTCTGAACGGGAGCATCGGTCCTTACACAGATCTACAACAGCCTTCTGGGCTCCAGGGCTTGGGGTCTTGAACCATCTCAGCAGAGCAATAAAGAATCTCTTTTCAGAGTTGTCAGAAAGGGGAGGGAAACAACACAAAACAGATACATTGCCACTGGCACAATTTAAGAAATTGTGCCTGCTCACGAGAAAAGGTGTCAAGACCCTTCACAGGGAACTCAATGTCTGCACAAAGATCTCACAGAACACCCTGCTCTCCGCAGGCTGCTTGCCAAGGAGCAGCTGCCACTGTCAGGAGAGAACTGCATTATTTCTGCAGACAGAAAACAGGACTGCTGGATTTAATAATATGCTGAACGGCTTCCAAGGACTAAAGTGGCTGAGAGGTCATGTTAGCGATGTGCTCCTTTGCAGCCTGGAGCCCTTGCACCAGCTTCAGCATGCACGTTTGGTCCCAGCTGACACCCTAGAGGGGTTTACCTTCTTTCTCCTGCCTCAGCCTCTTGGAGAGATGCTCGCTGATGGCCATGAGAGGGTTGGCTTTGTACCTGGGATCAGTGATGACCTCATGAAACCGAGCCACTTCCTCCTCTCTGAGGAAAGAAAAATAACACACAAATGCTAAGTGCCTCATGCAAAAGGAACCGAGCAGATAAGAACAGAACTCCTAAAGCAGTGGGTTTCTGTACAGATGGAATGATCCTGGGTGTAAACCTCAGAAAGAAGCAGTGCAAGAAATAAATCTAGTTTACCCAAGGGCAAAGCTTAAATTGCTGCCAGCTTCATGGGAGTCAGAGACTTGATCTCATGCCACAGAGACAGAAACAATCGCATTAGTGTCCAGTATCACTTGGAAATGGTTTTTTAGAGTTTTTGCCTAGTAATCAGGAACAAGAGACTGTCAGTATCTGGCAAACACTAAGAATGAAAACTACTTCAGATTGCACTAGCACAAAAGCAGATTCTGCTTTTGAGCGCTCATCTACTGACTTTCTTTATTGCTCAGCATAGAGGCTTGGTAATCCTATGTGCAACACTAGTTAGACACCATGGGAGGAGCATGACAGAATTACCTCTGCATGCTTGATCACAGCTGGTTGCTGTGGAAATGGTCTTGTCTTAAAAATCAAGCAAGCAGGAAGGAATAAGAACAGAGCAGGAGTGTAAAAAAAAAACCACCAGTGAGTTTTCACATAAGTCACATCCATTGTGGCCTCCCCAGCTCCCCCAGACAGACTGCCAGGCTCTCCACAGCCCAACCAGACACACATCTCTATGTTCTCAGTAGTTGCTGTGGATCAGCAGAGTGCTCTTCAGCTTGCAGCATGCAGCTAGTTCCTTCCCTAGTACAGCCCTTCTCTTCAACGCCAGCCCTGCCCCTGCCAGAGGAACAGAGAGAGAAGCCAAACCTGAAGCTTGGGTTGTGGCAGTTGGGGCACTAAGGTGAGGCTTAGGGAACCTCCAGTCTTAACTAACATCCTGGAAAATAAACCTCAAGACCTTCCTCCAAACTTTTTCCCTCCCAAGAAGTGCAGACTTCCCAGACCACTATGTGGGATATGTGCCACTACTCAGGGCATCTGTCCAGTTTTGTGCAGAGAAGAGAGGCATACACAGGGGATCATTGGCTGATACAGAAGATCGTGGTGGAGTTACCTATTCAGATTTACATCTGTATACAAGTCCCTCCTCAAGCAGTGTTCCTTATCCATGAGTTCCAGCACAATGAGACATTCACTGGTGGCACTCAAGGCCATGAGCTTCTGCAATGCACCAAGGTGGAACTCATCCAGAAAGACGCAACTGAGCAAGACAGGCATCCCAGCATCGACACTGGCCAGTTTCAGACAGAGAAGGGTATTCACAGAGTATGCTGGAGAGAAGTTCTGGGATCTGTACACTGACGGTTGTCCTCAGTCTCAGTCTGAAGTTGAATGGCTCAGAACTGACAGAAATCCTGGCAAGAGGGATCACAGAAAACAAACGCTGCCTGATCACAGTGCCTAGCCCCTGGAGAGCTGTGCTGAGGGGATATGAAGTTCTTGATGCCTGGTGGCAGTATAAAATATCCTACAGAGGAACAGGGAGTTTCCAGACCAAGTCTAGGAGTTATTAAAAAGCATTTAGGGCTTCATTTTACAAGAAAAGTTTTGGCAGATGCCAATGGACAGCTGTTCTCATAAGGGACATACGCCATGTAATTTAGCATCCCAGAGGTGTGCTAACAGACCAGCTGTAGCTCCTGATCCTACACAGAGTTCCAGGAGCTCCTCACCTACACAACTGCAGGAGACTTTCCTGAAGGGTAACAGCTAGAGCTATGTGGGCCTGGTGTCATAAGAGACTCAGCCACAGCTGGCAGTTGCAGCTCCAACCCAACAAGCCAAGACAAGGGACACATCACCTTGTTGATAACCACATCAGCCGTGCCACACAGACAGGCACAGTACAGACATACTCACTTGGTACGGCCAGAAAGGACAACTGTGGCCAGGAGGAACAAGATGACAGTTGGTGTAGGTTTGTCCTGAAACCCCACAGACCATACACAGAAGACCCAAGCCATCACTTTCTTTCCAGTGAGACAGGGAAAATGAACTCTTAAAGGAGCAAGTGTAGTTTCCTGTCCACTCTTCACTTAAGAGTTTACACAAGACAGAAGTGGAAGCAGACTGAATCCATTTAGAATTGTCCGATAGTCTGTTGCCTCTTCTAGAGTCTTCAGGTGTGCAAGACTGAAACATTGGAACTGGTTGCCTAGAGAGGTTGTGTGATCTCCATCCTTGCAGACATTCAAAAGTCGTGTGGACGTTGTCCTGGGCAACCAGTTTTAGGTGCCCCTGCTTGAGAAGGGGGTTAGACCAGATGACCTCCAGAGGTTCCTTCCAGTCTCAACCATTTTGTAATGCTCAGCAGGGACTGGACACTCTGATAACTGGGTACTTACAAGAGCCGTCGTTTCTGAGCTTGATTCATCAGACAGAAGTCTGCTGGTTCTGGCTTTGCTTTTACGTGGCTGTGGAGAGAAGAAACAAAACAAGTGTTATAGAGGAGCAGTAATTTAGCAGTTGCTGTGGAGATGGAAAGAGTCCAGGGACCTGCCTTCCCATAAAGTACAGGTAATTGCCCTGTATGGAAATTGTCCTGAAAGGCAACTATTTCCATAGCCAGACAGTAATGGAGATGCAAACTTCTTCCACCACAGACTGACAACAGCTTAGGAGTCAGGACTGAACGGGCAGGAGGTGAACGCACTAAAGAAAAATCAGATCACTTAGTTCTAGAACTGGTCATTAGCTGTCCATGCCCAGATCACTTTTTGCTTATCACTAACCTCCAAACCGATACTGTTGCTTAGAGAAAAGATCCCATCGAACTTCCCCTCACCACCAGGCATGCGTCACATATGCACAGCTCATGTTCCTTGCTAACGCTGCAGAGCTCCAGCATCGGCAGACATCAGTTGTAGACAGTGCCATGATTACTCAGCAAGAAGAGGGTACCACCAGCCCTGCTTCGGATCCCGCAACGGGACCACTGGGGTATAAGGTGTTACTTATATTTTAAGATAAAGAATGGCAATATTCCTTTCTCTCTGTGAACACCTATCCTCACCAAAGGTTTGCCAGTTCAAGTCAGCTGCAAACAGATGAGCACAACAACAGAGCTTCAGCTTTTGCCACCAAATGTGAAGTTGCAAGAAGATGGACTCATGCGAACGCAGGATGGTACACTATGTGCCGCTCATGCACAGCAGCAAGCATAGATCTGCACTCTCTGTACCCATTTCTTACTCCTGGGCAAAGTCCAAGAAGACCAGAGGTGTAATCCCATCCTGCACAGGATGCTGGAAGCACGTGGTGCCCAATGCCAAGCAGCGGCAGAGATTTACCACAAAGCCAAGTGCTGAGCCCAAGCAAGGGACACGTGGCAGCGACTGCTTTTGGGACTCAAAGTGCACAAGGGGAGTTGCTGGTAGATCTGGGCATTAAGGAAATAAGAAGAAACTTCCATTCTTCAGGATTACAGAGGTAAACAGGAGAAGCGAGTTGGGAAGAAGATCTATGCCTCTGCAGAGCAGCTCCCCTCCGATTTGCCCTGGGGCTGAGCCCCAGCACAAAGTCCAAGGGGCTGAGGGGGTCTGCTTGCCACCCCTCTGTTGGGGAAGGGCTCAAGGAGGAATCTTTTCTTACTGGTGGGTGCTAGGGGCCAGGGCCTCCCCCACCTGAGCTGCCCCAGAGCAGCTTTCTGCCTTCAGCTTTCTCAAGGTTTTTTCTGAAATTTTTTTCCTCATTCTTCCTTTTCTCCTCCTCCCTTGCCCCGTATTTCTTCACCCCACTCACTTTCACCATCCCTCTTGACTCAATCAGCTTCTGCTCCTTTTCCTCATCTCTCCCTCTCCTCATCCTGGTCCATTTTACTTTTCCTCAAGGAGGATCTTGGTGGACCCAAGCTGCTGAGGGCTGCTCTCACCACTGCCCCAATTGCATCTGAATTACCCTCAGCCCAGCACAGTGTGCCCCCTACGCCAAAGCTCCCTGCCAAGCCCAGATGAACCCAAACAGCGTGGATGCATGGCAGCCAGCCTTCGCAGCACCAAGCCTGTGCAGGAAAGGGCAGCCAGGCAGATCAATGCCTGCGTGCTGCTCCTGTACCCTTCAGTCCCTCTCGAGGTCACCCCGGCACTGCTGGCATTACACAACAGGTCTGAGAGCTCACGAGGAATGGCAACCAGCAAGAGCAGACAAACAGCTACGGGGGTTCGAGCAGCTCCCAACTGTAGGATCATTTTATGTTAGCAATGAGCTGGAGGACATTTTGAGAATGTGATAAGATGTGGGAAAAATACAGAGAGTTATACAAAGAAGCAAGTTTGTAGAACAAGAGATGGATACTTGAGGAACAGGAGATGGATACTTGTGGAACAGGAGATAGATAAAATTAAGAAACAAAACCATAGTAACAAGGTGAGACAAAGAGCTTGTGTGTTAGACAAAGAACTTGTGTCTAATTTACGTAGAAGCTATGCATAGCATAAGCACCTATCCGAATCCTTGCTAAGGAGCATGATAGTCGCATGTAACCAATCAGAGCTTAAGCAAGTGCGTGTACGGAAGTAGAAAACATAAGATAAGATGCAGCTTTGAACATAATAAATGACTTCTCTGATCATCATATTGGTGTGCTGTCGTCCGTGCCTCGCATGAGAAAGACCCCACACCCATCACACTGCTGCGTCCACTGGTACTGCAAGACACAGAAAGAGCAGGAAGCTTCTCTGCTCTCTTCATGTCCGTTAACTGCTCAGCACAGGTGCAATTTCTTGTCCCAGTTTGCCTGGATTGCTCACAGAATCACAGAGATGGATGGCAACCCACGGTCATCGGAGCAGGGGCTTGCCAAGTGTGCCACCAAGTTGCCATGGCAGTCTGTTCAAAGATGAGTAGCTCTGCAGAGGGTGACAATGTTTAAAGGAAAGCCTTTCTAGAGTATATCCCAGGCCGTATGAGACCACATGCCCCAGAGGACAGCTTCCTCTGCAGCACACAACAAAGGTGTGGGACTGCTCAGCCGCTCCACTATTTTAAAGGGCTCGGTGCTTCTGAAGGCTTTTCAGTTCCACCCAACAGCTCTGCCCCACTGGTCTGGCAGGTTCGAAAGACTGCTGCCTAAATTTCCCCCACCAAACCACCAGCACGCCGCCTGCTCACTTGGACAGTGTTAGTAGCCTTGTTTCATTACACTTCATTGCCATCATTCATTACAAAACAGAATAAAAAACTCACTGTAATGCTCGCTTGCCCAGCAGGAGATCAAATTCCTGGAGAATCTAATCTTTTATTAATAATGCTGACAAATCACCAGAGTATTACCCTTCATTTATGTAATGATTCAAATCCTATAAAAGCCTCCTCTGATTATTTCAAACACTTATGCACACACATCCTCATGCAGGCCAGGAAGCCACCAGCCAGCAAGAGGAAGAAGAGCACTGTAACTCCTCCATGCCAGTACCAAGGGGAACTGGTTTTCGGTTGGCATGTCACAGGCAATCTGGGTGACATCAGTCAACACCAAGCTCCCACCTCTGCTGTGCTGACTGCAGATCATGATGGCCAATCCTGAAATTCTCAGTCAGGGCTGGGCTTCTCTACCCTGCTGGGCCACAGGCCCACTGGGCTTTCTAGACTCTGAAGCCTTGTAGCCAAAGTGAAAACAGAGCCAGAGTATGAGCTCAGGCTTCCAAAAAGAGAGAGGGGCTGTCACACTCCCACAGGAGGTCTGGGTTTGGAGAGAGAGGGAGCTGACAACGCTTCTCTGAGGATGTCATAGAATCATAGAATTATTTGGGTGGAAGGGGCCTTAAAAGACCACCAAGCTCCACCCCCCCTGCCATAGGCAGGGACACCTTCCACCAGACCAGGTTGCTCACAGCCCCATCCAACCCGGACTTGAACACTCCCAGGGATGGGGCATCCACAGCTTCTCTGGGCAACCTCTGCCAGCGCCTCACCACCCTCACTGGGAAGAACTTCTTCCTAATTTCTAATCTACATCTTCCCTCTTCCAGTTTAAAGCCATTGCCCCATGTCCTGTCACTCCATGCCCTTGTAAAAAGTCCCTCCCCAGCTTTCTTGCAGGCCCCTTTAGACCTCTAAGGTCTCCCTGGAGTCTTCTCTTCTCCAGGCAGGAAGTAGTTCATCTTCTTTTCCAGTATGAGAAATAAAGAACATCAAACATAGCTAGCAAGTAGCCAGTTCAGTGCAAGCAGGAGGCTCACTGCTCTGCACAGTTCCTTGCTGCAGGATGTCGTGGCTGATGGAAGCCTGTGGGTTCAGGTGACACCTGACAAATCCAGTGAGGAGAGCTCCATGGAGGATTACTGCAGGTATATAAACTGCAGCCGGCACAAGGACTCTGAGCTGCAAATACTGGAGAGGATGTGGCTATACACTTGGCTTGGTCTTATCCCTCTCTGGCCATCTGCTGCGGACTGCTTCAAGGCAGAGCACTGGTCAAAATGGTCCTTCCAGTTACTGCAATCACTCTTCTCTTCTGTAGTACACTCCATGGCAGAGGATATGGGGCACATATGGAAGCATTCAGTGGTTTTGCATGAATCCCCAGCCTGACATCTCAGCTCTGGGGTCCTCAGCACAAGAAGGACATGGACCTGTTGGAGTGAGTCCAGAGGAGGCCACAAAGATGATCCAAGGGCTGGAGCACCTCTCCTATGGGGGCAGGCTGAGAGAGCTGGGGTTGTTCAGCCTGGAGAAGAGAAGGCTCCGGGCAGACCTTAGAGCAGCCTTCCAGTACCTAAAGGGGCCTGCAAGAAAGCTGGGGAGGGACTTTTTACAAGGGCATGGAGTGACAGGACAAGGGGCAATGGCTTTAAACTGGAAGAGGGAAGATTTAGATCAGAAATTAGGAAGAAATTCTGCCTGGTGAGGGTGGCGAGGCAGTGGCACAGGTTGCCCAGAGAAGCTGTGGTTGCCCCATCCCTGGAAGTGTTCAAGGCCCGGATGGATGGGACTTTGAGCAACCTGGTCTGGTGGAAGGTGTCCCTGCCCATGGCAGGGGGGTTGGAACTAGATGATCTTTAATGTCCCTTCCAACCAAACCATTCTGTGATTCTATGAACCACACCACACTTGATTTTATAGACTATTACATTCCCAAGCCTCTTTGCCTCTATCTCCTGTCCAGGCTGACGACTCCCCAGCTGACTTAGTCACCCCTTGCGCAGAAGCTGTGCCAGATCTTCCACGATGATCCTGCCATCTCTGAGCCTTTTCCAGTTCTACTCTATCTTTTGAGTTGGTCCAGAATTGCAGGCTGCAGTGACACTATGTATTTGTACTAGATTATGCAGCCACCCAGGAAAGCAATCCCCAAAGGGAGCACCCTACCTGTCCTCTCTCCCCTATATGTACTTTCTGCAAGCCACTTTCCTGGACAGCAGGGGCTCAGCCACCAAAGGGGCTCGGGGAAAATGATGAGGGCGAATGACTCCTGACCACAACCTGGAGTCAGATGTCACATGTGCTTGTGGCACGTCACCACAGAAAGAGGGCAAAGGCACCTATTCAGGCTCAGGCTAAGCCTTGGCCCAGAACTCCATGCAACCAACCCTCAGTGCTCTGCAAGACTTGAAACTCTGTGTGTACTTTTGCTGTTCATTCCCACTGAAAAGAGAGGGCAGGCTGACTGAATGGCTGCATAAAGAAAAAAAAAAAAAAAAAAATGCTATCCAAGGAATTAGAAGCCAAGTTAAGGAAGGAAGTATTTTCCCATGCTTAGATGCAAGGTTCATAGCTGCTGTTTGTCCAAGGAGTGGCTTTCCAGAAGCACAGGAAACTGCCAACTCAGCCATGATCTGTAGGTGGGTGTCCCACCTGGGTCAGAGTTTATTTCTGGGACATCCAGCAAGTCAGAAGAGGGTTCATGGTATTCCAGTCTTGATCTGCAATGAAGGAAGAAGGTGCTTTGCCAGCCAGCTGCCTTCTTGGCTGTTCTCTAATCCAAATGCTTTCTTATTACAGTCAAAACAAGTTTCTAGTTCCAACCCTTACTGAGCAACTGGAGAGGAGGGACAAGCATTTGTGCAGCACGCAGAGCAGTTTTATTCTGTGCTGGGAGATGCAAAAGCAGCTGCAACACTGACCAGATGGTCAGACAGAGCACTGCATTAAAAAGGAGAAAACATAAGGACAACCAGAACCCACCCTATGGCTGGCTGGGATGGTTGACACGTGGGTGTCAGAGGATCAGAAATAGCCCTTCTCTTTCAGCACAGTAAAGGAACAGAAATACCATCTTTCTCTTCTGGTCCAAAATCACATTGCAAGACAGTAGGGTGAACAAAGAGTCTGGCCAGAGTGTAAAACTCTGCTCAAAGGGCTTGAACTGCCTCAGGAGAAAGCCTGGAGGTCTGGAAGGACGGAACAGCAGACTGCAACACCTCAAGTCCAGATTCTCAGGTGAGCTCAGCAGCATTACACTCTCGACACTTGTGTATCACCCCCGTGACTCCCAGGACATTTGGCTGCTCCTCGCCTGTCTCATGCCAAGCCTCATCTGAGCAATACAGTTCCCCTCTTAGCTGTGGATTCAGAAGACACATTTAAGCTTTTTTCTTGTGGTGAGCGAAGCATGGACAGGGGTGAAATGGAGCAAAGAATGAGGCCCTGTTCTCTCGACTGTTGGCACCGAGCTTGCGTTGCTTGTAGCTACAAGCTGAGCTGAAGGGCACTTCATCCTGCAGGAAGAAGGGAAACACACATCCCTAAACAGCACATACCTCTTGGGTGACTTCCTGCCTCTGCCACCTGTGGTCAGGTCAGAGAGCTCAGGCAGGGCTTCCATCAATGGCTGCATGTCTCCCACCACAGGTGTCACTTTCCGCTTTGCTTCGGCTTTTTGCTTCTGTTTGGCTAGCTTCACACTTTCTATTTCTGAATCAGAAACCAGACATTACTGGAGGAAGGCAAAACGTTTGCAAGCAAGAACCCTTGAGCTAAAAAATTCATAGGCTGCTTCACCATCTACAGCAACAACAAGCCAGAAGTGACTTAAATCAGGGAAAGATTGAAAATAATGGAGCTGGGTAGTTCTCTCCCTTGCTGTGTTTGCTTAGAACTATACACATCTCTACTGACATTTGCAATGGAAAGTAAAGTCCCCAGACTGATTTTGTCTGAACTGTTTCCATCCCTTGCAGTGTTCATTGCTCACAGCAACACGGCACAGAAGTCCTTGGGTGGAAAAAAAACATGCTGACCTTGCATGGAATTAGGAGAGAGAAACAAGAGGGGAAGGGATAAAACAAATACAGTCAGCTCCACATGTGGCATTAAACAGTCACAGCCCTGTCTCTGCTTTGCTGTTGGGACAAAACAATGGTCTCCTAGCACAGGCAGAAAAGATGGACATAATTTCAGTTGTTTACTTAGTTTGGAGCAAGTAAAGGTCTCACCTTCATGACTCATGGTGGAGCTCAAGCAGCCAGATGCTGGATAAAGTGGGTCCTTAGAAAAGCACTGCACCAAGTGGCAGACATAGAGGCAGCTGCCTTTTCCTTGAGACCATGTTTACCGGTCTCCCTGCAGCAGCTCTGAGCACATAAGGCTCTATAAATGTTACGGCAGTCCCCCTTCTTGGCCATGGGAGGTGGGCATTGAAAGCCACAGGCTTCTGCCTCAGTCCTCAAGGCTCCCTGGCGTAGAAATAGGTCTGGCAGCTGCCCGAGCCTTACAGAGCCAGGAGCCTCCAAGGTAAACCCCAGCAGAACATGTTCTCCTCTAGGAGAGCCCACAAAAGCCCAGCACTGCTACAAGCCTCCAGCTGAGCTCCAAAATGCCCCAATCTGTCCTAGAAGTCCCTTGACGATGCCACTAGGGACAGCTCAAGCTCAGTGAGATCCATGTGCTCCTTTTCCTTCTGCCAGGTGATCATTGGGCCTGGAAATCTGCTGCACTGCCTTGACACCCACGAGGGGTATCAGTGTTGCAGGGTACACGACAGAGGACTCCACCTCCTCTACATGCACCCAGCGGAGGCCGCAGTGGAAAAGCAGGCTTCTGCTTATTGCCTTGGGCAATGAGCCTATTGCAAGGACAAGACTCAGCGTCGAGCTAGAAACTCCTTGTCTGCACATGTCGGAACACAGTGCCAGCAGCCATGGGGCCAAGCTGGCGACAGAGGGGGGCCAACAGCTTCCAACGCAGCATGGCCACAGAAGGAGGACTAAATCAACACAAGTATTTTTGGTGGGAACACGAAAGCAGCCAGTCCCACTTATAGGCTGCAGGCAAGACACCACCTGCAATTCTGGGTCTAATCCTGCTGCCCACATTCAAGAAAGCAGAACTCAAATTCACTAGCTAGCCGCTGGCTCCTTTAGTATGTCTTGTTTGCTCTCCAACTCATCTGAGTTGAAGAGCAACAGCTTTTCATGAACTGCAATTTTGCTGTACATGAATGTTTGTGACAAATCTGGATTGTAAACGCTTCTCCTCACAGCAATCCCTGCCAAGAACACAGCTTTCTGTTCTGCATCACTTCTTTTTTTGGTCTGGCTTTATGAAGCTGACTACTTCAGCGCATTCATAAACAGTATGCACTTAAAATTTTCAGACACCTGATTCTGTGCAAACATCCCAAATTCTTTTCCTATGAAGTCTTGTTCATCTGAGGAGCTATGAGATATATGTATTTTTAAATGTGCATACTTCTAATGTCTGAAGCATTACATAATTTTTTTCCCTCTCTAGTTTCTCCTGAGATCATTTATTGGAATGGAAGAAATCTCCAAGTTTTGCATTTGCACTGCTGGGCTGAACTTTAGTTCCCAGGATCTTGGCATCCAGTGTCACAAAAGCAGCCCTGGGACAAGAAGAAACAACTCTTGGGAAGATGTAGGAAAACAGAGATGTAACGATAACAACTCCAGCAGACCAAGCTGGGTTCTGTTTTGGGGGGCAAAGACTGCAAAACCCACAAAGAATTGGCAGAGTTATCTGCATCAGATAAAAATCAATGCGTTTCAGTTGACTGCAGCTCTTTAAGGTCACAATGTTAGAAGGCCAAGTTTCATTCAAAAATCTCCATCTCTGGAAATACCAGTTCATTTTGCTCCATCAACTATTAATAATAATATCAGTTTCTTTATTGATGTTCATATAGGCTCTTTCCATCTATTCCATTTTTCTCAGTAACAAGCTGCACACCTGGTACTAACACTTGCTGACTTTTCTTACAGAAATCCTGGGGTACTTGCTACCCTTAGCCAAGCATTTGCTAGGGAACGCTGGTTATTTGCCAACTGGCCACAAATTTAGTGGGGGAGACAAGAGAGCCAGCAATTTAAGTACTTCTGTATCTGTAAAGCACTTCTAATACCTAGTGTCTTCTTAGACAAGAGATAATTTGGCCTGACGTTTTCTATGTTGGTGTTCTCCTCAAAGCAAAGCCTCTGCATTTCATTTCTATTCCCTCAGTTTAGTAATTTCAGAGTCAAGAGGGGAGGAAAGAGACCACAGGACAGCCAAAATAACATACGTGATCTTGAGAAAGACTGATGCTACAAAGGCTTATATGCAGGAGGGCGGGATTAAGAGAGTGCAGGGATCCTGCTCCTGGGCTTTTCCAAAGTGGCTGGCCTTGACTATGGGAACAGTGCTGTCACGTAACTGCAGGAGCACGCCCTCTGTTTCTTGCAGAAGACACGAGTCCCATATACCCCTTTTACTGTGGATTCTGTCATAAAATGTTGCTGAGGACATGCCTTCCTCCATGGCACCTGGTACCAGTCCTGGTATCAGGGGAGGGAAAGCTTAGCTGTGCTCCAGCAGTCCCCTCCTCTGTTCCCACAATAACATCAGACAAGGAGAGACCTTTAGGAGCACTGAAATTGCAGCTGGCAGGCCAGACTAGCAGCTAGTTAGGACTAGCACAGCCGTCTATGCTTTGCGCCCGACAGGGACGCTGAGGGTTGCAGATGTCAAAGACACTTGGAAGTTGTTGGTTGGTGGTAGGGAGGAGGTTTCCTTCACACTTACAGTGTTAAATTATCAGCTTTTTATGTAAAAGGAGCCAGAGACACCTTCACTGTGACTGGTGGAATTACAGGTTGATGGACTTAAGCTCAGAGCTCAGGAGCAGAGAGCACATGGTGCGGCAGAAAGCCACATCCCTCAGCCCCAAACACAGTCTGTCGGCAACTCTGATGGGCAAGAAGGTGTTAAGGGAAAAGCCTGCCCAAAGAACAGCTCCAGGTGGCAAGAGCTGTACCCTCTGCTACAGCGGGTAGCACAGAATCATCTCTCACTGTGTTGAGAAACTCGAAGCAAAAATACAGACACTTCCCACAGGAAACAGAAATATTTCTGCCATGGGCTGGTTTTGTTTAGCTCGTATTTCATGGCCTCGAGAAAGGCCAGACTGTCTGGTAAGTGGGTTCACTGACCTGTGGCATGTGGGAAAGAGCAGTAACACAACCAGCAGCGTCCAGAGACGTCTCTTACTGAAGGGCAAGAGGGCCCACTGCAGGCTTTCACCACAGAGACTTGGGACCTGCTGGCAGCTGCGTGGGGCTCAGCAATAGGCTGCCCTATCATCCCCACAGATCCTTAGGGAGGAGAAACTTCACTATACAGCTAATCATATCTGTACCAGAGCTTTAAAAGATAGAGAAACATGCTAAACCTACATAGGCACAGTGTCCTATCTGAATAAATAAAGGTTTTATGTAGTCACTTATATTACACGTGGAAGAAGATGAAAAGTAGGTTTGGGGCAATGACTCAATCTCAGTGCTAAACACTGAGAAACAATACCTGGGACTTTTACCCCATGTACTGGGGAGCAGATGGTGAAGGTTTCTGAGAAGCATTCAGCCTCTCCTGGCACTGCCCAACACTGCTGCCCACACCGTATGTACAGAGAGATCCAACAGAGCCACGTTCTGTGATGCCCGCGGTACCGCCGTGCTTCAGAGGAGTACTTACTCTGTAGCCATCTTTCTTTCCTCAGCTTCATTTTTTCTTTTTTGGAAAGAACCGTTTTTTCTTCTAAACCTAGAGGAGAAGAAAGATGTGAGATGGATCCTGGCTCCTGTACACAGACTCAGTGCTGGACATTTCCCAAAGACAGCAGAGTCCGTAATATTTTAATCAATCCTTGATGCTTTTGAACTTGCTGGCGGCTCGGGCAGGCTGCAGGCAGACCAGGGGCTACACCGCACCTCGACTTTTAGCCAAACAAATCAAACCCAGCTCACTGTTGTTAAGACATAAGAAAAGGGCGAGTAGATCAGATCATCAGCACCATAGGCCCTGTTTTCTCAGGCCAGGTAGCTTTTCGAGAAAAGCTTTCTGAGAGAACCTTGCCCCATGTCCTGCACTCCTGCACGAACCTGGCCTGGGAGCTAGCATTTTTTTCTGAAGACTAGCCGCATGTGATGGGAAGACCTACAGGTTCCAGAACTGGGAGCAAAAAGCAAGTTTTAAGCTGAAAATACGCAGGCTGATAACGCTAAGAAGAAGGAAAACATGGGCTGCAGACATGTGAGGGCAGGAGAGGGAAGGGCGACCTGACATGGCTATTGGCATCCACCTGCCCAAGCAATGTTCTCAACATCTGCCCAGACAGCACGGGGCAGGCAGGAGAAGGACCGAAAAAGGTCTGAAATACCCAGATCCATGGCAGTCCTAAGGAGCAGATGATTAGTAACAGCTTGTAAAAAAGGCTAGTACATACTGTATACCAAAATCAGTATTTGGAAACCAGCTGTTGACCACTGATATCGAATACCAAGTAAAATAACATCACAAATATTTTTACTGGAGATCCGTTGCAGATGCTATAAAATTTTATCTTATCCCTGGTGTTTAAAACAAAATTGACTTTAGTCAACTTTCCTCCTGAAATGTGCTGGGAATACTGCTACAGGAATGGCAATGGAGGAACAAGCTCCCTATAGACCACTCCTCTCACCTTAGGTTATTCTTAAGCCTGGAAAAGAAAAAAATACTCTTTTTCTCCCCAAAAGAAACAGGAGAAAGGAATTCAATGCAACTCTGAAAATAACTCACTATGGACAACTTCTCTGAAGCTGCAAATCTGTCAGGATGATTTAAACAAAAACAGGATCATAATTTAGTAATTTCAATGCCTTAAGATCAGAACAAGCCTGCTGGGGCTGGGGTGGACTTTTCCATAAAGCCAACAGCCATCCCCATGTTTTGAGTTTCTAGAGGTCACAGAGAATGCAGCTGTAGCTCTCACTGCCTCGTGTCCCAGAAAAATACATTACTGCAGTCAATCCACCCAAGAAGCGAGAAATAAAACCATGCCTACAAGTCATCACTTATTTACAAAGCTCAGGGATGTCTTGAAGGGTTTGTATGTGACTGATGCTGCTATCCATTTTTCCATCTTCTGCATAAAGTACTAATGCACAGGCACCCTGCTAGGCCCGGGCCAGCATGACAGCCCTGCCGGGGCATGGGGCCAGGCAATAACAAAGACAAACATCTAATCATGTTAAGAGCAAGTTTCCTCAACCCGTTTGCTGTGGTATCAAAGCAGATGCTGAACCAACTAATTGCAAGTTCCAATAATCAACTCCCAACTACCCTCACCTCCAATCACCTCACGTTACTGCGGTTTCAGGGGAAAAAAGGATGAATCATGAGAGGCCAAAAGGCAAATCGCACCCCGGTGATCTCCGAAGGGTTGCTTGCAGGAGACACCTCCGCCCTGCCCGTCTGGCTGCTCCAGCCTGCCTAGATTTCAGCGACAGCGGTGCCAGGGAGATTTCAGACCCTTGTCTGAAAGTATGCTCATTACTTCGTTGGGAAAATAGCGCCCGACAGGACTTCTTAATGAAAATAAAAACTAAAAATTTCAGCCAGCTGGCCAATTCTAGTAATAACATCAATTCAGATTATTTTTTTTTTTTCCTTTTTTTTCCCCCCAAACGGCAGCAGCAGAATATTTCAGGAAACACAAAAGCTGTTTTCTTGGCAGGGGTCCAACACCGGTGCAGGAAGGGGAAGGGGGCCGGCACC